GGGCAGGTACAGACTGCAAGTCTATGGCCATTGAGACGGATGTTCAGGTGGCAGAACAGGCACAGCAGCGCCACCTACAGGCTTTGTTTGACAAGTATGGGCAAAACGGGAGTATCTCCTTAGAAGGCCTGTACAACCTACTAAAGGGGGTGGGGCTAGACCGAATCCGAAAAGTGATGGTGCATCACCATGGCAACGGACATAATCACACACACGCGCATGATCACACGCACACTCATGTGGACAAACTCACCACACACTCACATCCCGCCACCAGCAAGAAGGGGGGTATTGACCATAACGTGGAGAAGAGTGACCCCATCCCAAATGTGCAGCCTGATCCCGCCTCTGGGAAGAAAAGCCAGTCGGATGCTCATCACAATCTCTACATGAAGATGAATCAGGACTTGACCACAACTTTGACTACACCGTCTTACGTCACAAAATCACGGCGGACCAATCGTAGCGCTGACTATGATTTAACGCAGGACCATGCCTCCTTTAACTCCACCCAGGCCAATGTAACGCAGTCTAACCACACCCACCAGACTGAGGACACACCCACCCATGCGCAAGATGACCATGATCAGCATGGACTTGACCATTCGAGTCTAGCGGTACACAAACAGCTATTTATTTAAATGTTATCTTTATTATGTATTGTAATATATTTTTATTTATTTATTATTTATATTTTTATTTTATTTTAATTTAATCTAATTTTTATTTTTCTATATTACAAAGTTTTTCTCTAAGCTTTTCCATAGACCCTTGCAAATCCCTGACATACTCCACTCACACAAGTTCGGAATTTCTCTTTCAGTGCCTAAATGCCTCCACAATCCTGCAGTCACATGGCATGACAAAGGAAATGGGTCTCACTGTCAAGGACTTCAGTTACCTTTGCCCTGCCCTTCTCATGCAGATTGATTCCAATTCTTGCCTCTTGCATGACGATGACCATTCAGGTGAGCTTTTGAGGATGGAATTTACATAAAGCTGTGTTTTTGTGACACAATCACAATTCTTGATCAGCAGAATCTGTATAACAATTGACTTTTTTCCAGATCATTCCCATAACCACCACCACCACCACCATCATCATCATCATCACAGTCATCTACATAATCACACCAATAACAGAAGCCCGAGGAATGCTTCAATTAGCATTGGTAAGTATGTGTTACTTAATATCTTTTGAGACTAAGTTGAGTATTCATTTATATTTATGTTAAGTGTCATCTATTTATGCAAATTACATTTTGTATTAAGTTCAGCCAGAGAAAATCATAACTCTGTGGGAATCCTATTGGTTTAGTTATTGTACATAAATGTGTTTACATAAATGCAGAGTATGAAAATAAGATGATAATTTATTTTAATTTTTTGATAATCAATGAATGTACAATATTAAAGGGGTCATATGATGCTGCTAAAAAGAACATTA